AGCGATAATTACGTGAATTTAACTAATGAACAGCAATTAACTTTATTAAATAGCGGTCTAAATAGTTTAGGAATTGACACTTCTGAAAAGAAAGAAGCCTTTGTTCATCTCAATCACCAACTTTATCAAGAAAAACAATGCTTTGGTCTATCAGTCAAAGAAAAAGAGAATATTCTCCGTTTACTAATTACTAGTTTAGACTTAACTATGGAACAAAAGCAAGCCTTAGAAAGGATGGGAGTAAAACCTTATAATGCGACTGAATGAGAAGTTAGTGAAGAACAGAAAAACCATCTGCTAAGTTTTGGTTTAAGTAAACTAGATCTAACCGAGGAACAGCAAACTGAACTAACTAAATTACACCCGGATAGATTTCCGACTTTTGCTTTCACCGAAACCCAAAAAAATATTCTGCACAGTTTAGCCCCTTTAACCCGGGAGGAAAAGTATAGTCAAGATAGTTTAGATCTCTTAAATTCTTTAGCCTTAAAACCTAAGCACTTAACTTTCTTTACTAATGAGGAAGTTTTACCTAATCCTAATTTAGAATTTGGGGAAGTAACTAATCCTTATTTACCTTTAAAAATCAAGTTCTTATTAGGAGAACAAAAAACTTTACGAACCAAACAAGAAGAATGAGAGAAAACTTTTCGTAAAGAGGAAGTTCAGCAAGCCAAGGAATCTATTTTAGCAAGTTTATCAGAATTTGCTCTCAACTTGCCCACTCAACCTCGCACTGACTGATGAAAAAGCTATCAAGAACAACAAAAAGCTGAATTAGTTAATTTATCCTACTCCTTAGATAACTGAGTAAACCAAGGAGCTTTAAAAGTTTGACAAAGAGATATTTTATTGACCTTAGGATTAAAAACTATTCCTCAATATAGTTTCTTTGAATTATTGGCTTTTGCCTGCCAAATAATTAATAAATCATTTACCGAAATCTTAAAAGAAAATAATTGAGAAGCAACCTATCAGCAATATTTAGAAAAACAAGCAAAGCAACCCATCACCATTAACAAAGTTATTTGAGAGAAATTTTTCTCTTCCAGTAGCAAAAAAGAACGAGAATTATTAAAAGGAATTAATTTAGAAGAGTTAGTTAATGAACAAATTAAGAAGTCCTGGGGTAGTTTTCAAGTTTCTGAGCAGTCCTTTAAGGAAGATTGAAAAAATATTAGTTTGGACTTTACTGCCGAATTGGTTCAGAAATGAAAAGAGCAAGGATTTAGTTATGAAGTAGCCAAAGAATGAATTGACATTGGTCTAGGAGTTAAAGATGCTGAATTAATTTATTATTTAAAGCAGGAATTACAATTAACTGCCGAAGAAGTCTTAAACCAAGGCAATTTAGATTATTTAAGAGAGCAGTTTGCTAATTCTCAACCAAAAAATCAACCAAACGAGAATAAAACTGCTACTCGTTATGATAATTTATTTGCTAATTTAAGTAAAGAAGATCAAGAAAGGGAAAAGAAAAAGCAGGAAAGACAAGCAGCCAAAAATAAATTTGAAGAAGCGGAGCGACAAAGAAGAGAACAAAAATTGTTAGAAAAAGATAAGAAATTAAAAGAGGATGAAGAAAAACGACAAAAAGAAAAAGAACTTGCTGAATTAGAAGAACAAAAACGAAGAGCAGCCGAGGAAGCCAGGCAAAAAGCCTTACAAGAAGAACAGGAAAGAATTTTCTCTACGAAGATGAAAAATATTGAAGAAGCTAAAAAAAGAGCCGAAGAGGCTTTGGAAAATCAGAAAAAAGCCAATGAGTTAGCCGAAAAAAAGAAGAAAGATGAAATTGAGAAATTACAAAAAGAAAATGAGTTAGAGCAAGAAAGACTTGCTAATCAGGCTAAACTTATTGAAGAAGAAAAGCAAAAGAAGTTAGCAGCTATTGCCTTAGAGGATACCGAACAACGACAGAGAATTGAAAGGGAAGCCAATGCTGAGAAAGCAAGAATTTTACAAGAAGCCAATGATAAAAAGCGTAAGCATGAAGAAGAGTTGAAAAAGAAAGAAGCAGCTTTATTACAACAACAAAAAGAGGCTGAATTAGAAACCAAAAAATTACAAGATAATTTAGATTTACAAAAGAGAATGGGAGAAGAATTAACCAGAATCAATGCTCAAAAAGCTA